AACTTTAGGCATCCACATTTGAAAATTGTGATCCGTATTTATTAATAATATATATATATATATATATATATATATATATATATATATATATCTCCAGCCCGTGGTAATATAAAAGCCTTTCACATATTAAGAGGCAGTAAGAAATGTATGTATGTAGCTGAAATAACAGATACAGCTCCCATGAAAAGAAGAGACAGTTTTTATTCATGCTGCATGTACAATAGTACAGTATAAATATTCTGAGAAGAGCTTGCGCAATTGGTGGCAGATGGAAAAGCTTTTCTTGACAAACCAGCATAAGCGTTTTCTACACAGTGTCTCGTCACATTCAGAGAATCCAGAAAGTCTAAAGCACTACAGATTAATTTCTAGTTCAAGCTTAAAAACAAAACAAAAAACTCTATAAGCAACCTAAGAACTGACTGATACTGAGGAAACTTACATAATCTAAAAAGACTCTTCAGGGACTTATTCCTATGTCAATACCATAGCCAAACAATTCTTCAATCACACGAAAATATCCTTGCCCCAAAAAAATGAAAATAGGCCTTTTTTCATTTTTTTCCTTCGGGGGTAAGTAGCCAAGCATCACTTACATATCATATTGATGGATTTCATTACAAGAATTTCAGCAAAAATAATAGAGTGATTATTATTTGAATAAGTTTATTTGACCAAGTTTGGAAATTAACTGTCGGTTTGATCTCTCACTTTAATAGGTAAAGAAGAAAGTAGCCAGTTCTTTCATTTCAAGCTGCATCAACTTTTTTTAAAATTTAACCCTAGAAAACAGTGTCTAACTTTTGCTGACTTTATAAACAATTTTATGTAACAGGCTAAATTGGACTTTTGTTACCTTGGGCAACTTGGAATACTTCTGCACTACAGTACCCTCATCAAGATTAACACTTGGGTTGAGTTTAGAAAAGCTTGGATGGAACACTTCAAATGGGAGCTGCCAATAAACATTTTATGAAAAACAACAACAACAACAAGGTAACTTATTTCACAATGATCATTAGATTTTCAATCCTATATGTAACTGAAGAATACTGGGACAATTGCTGTCATTAAAAAGGATTCCTTTTATCTTTTATAGTTCCAATTCCTCTTGTGCCCCAATAGATGCTTTTATTTGTAAATATTTAACACGTGTGATATTATTTCTTGGAGGGTTTTAAGAACAGGTTAGACAAACACCTATCAGGGATGGTCTCAGTGCAGGGGACTGGACTAGATGAGCCATTGAGGTCTCTTGCAGTCCTACATTTCTATGATACTTTATCAGTTTTCTTATATCCCAAAGGCAGTTTAGTTTTGTAGCATCAGAACGATGACTGTCAGACAAACTTGGCACTGATCGTACACTGTTATTAGGACAAGTCTTCAAGATCAGTGCTAGTTAAAACACAGGTAGTTGTACTGGCATTAAGGAGGGAGGCACAACAGTGGCCAAAAGATTGCAGCTACCCCCTGCTCCTGTCCAATAGTGACAGGTAATCTTTAAAGAAAAACTGTGTTTGTTTTTTTTTTAATGAAGAAAAATGATGACCCCAAACTGCACGTGGAGATTTATATAAAAAGCACAAGGAACTGCTTTACTGACCACCTAAAACAACCCTTCTTGTGCACCTTCTTGCTCTTTAAGGTATTAATGATATCATCCATTACAGGAGAAATGGCAAAAAGTGAACTCCGTCTTGACAGGTAACAAGCCTTCCAGTTCATCTTTTAACTTCACGTTCTGGTAGTTAGAGGATGCTTAATTTAACATCTTGACATTGATCCAGAATGGGCTAAGACCATATTGACTACAGTGGGCATATGGGCAGACCCCTTCTGTGAAGACAAGCACATCTGCCAAACTAACGTACTACTATCACTGACAAATAAAAGACCTTTGTCTATGCCAACTCCACCTAACCTACAGGCCAATCACACAGAAGCACCAATATTAAATCATTGACAAAGCTAACTTTTAATGAGTAATTCCACAGATTCCTTTTACAGCAAGCCTGAGGAGTTTTAATGAATATGAGCATTCTTCATATACATTTCATTTCACAGTAATGGCTACAGCAAGGCAACGACAAAATGCCCTTTGGACAACGGTTATTTCAAACAAATATTAAACTGGGGTAGTTCATCATCTTGGGCCCCTTCCAGACCCATTCAATCAGGGCCCTACTCATTCATCCCCCTCACTCCTCTTCCACACACCTCGCTTCTGAGTTCACATTGATTGATTTATTTTAAAAAAACACACACAGCTTCTATAAATTAGTTTAGGGTTAGAGGGGGGTGAGGAAGAGGAGGCCCAGAGGAGGCCGCGGGGGGGGGGGGGGGAGAGGAGGGAAGGA